CATTCTCGAACTTGAGAGTTTCGAGTGCACGGTGCACAAACAGCTTGTGTTTGGGGCTGGTTAAATTGAAGATCTCAGGATCATGAGCCCCATGAGATTTCTTCGGAAAGCGAAGAAAAGCCATCGGCTTCGACAGAGCTTTGGCAGCACACTTTGAGAACAGCAGTAATGTTAGGATATTGCGAAATACACTGCCCTCATATAGCTGGTAGGTGCACGGTTTAGGGTTTAGGGTTTCTAGATCTTTCCAGCCAAGGCCAAGAAGGCGATGCAGATTCTTGCTGAGGGCAAGACGATGCCTAAGACAGCCCCAAAGGCGAAGGCTGGACAATAAGCCCTGAACCCTAAACTCTAATCTCTAAACTTATCTAACTTCGAGAGTAATGCTCTATTGGGTATGCCGGGGCCAAGGGTTATGGTACGGTACGTGTGGCACGCATGGCACGGTACATGCGGTACGTATGGCGCGGTACGTGTGGCACGTATGGCACGGTACGTGTGGCACGCTAGGGACAGTACATGCGGTACGCATGGTACGTTGTAAACTACAATACAAGGGGTCAAGGGGTGATCATGGTACGACATAAGGTTGCTATGGCGACAGTGATAAGTACTGATCGCATGCAGAAGTCCCCCTGCACAAAGTCGCACAGAGGCTGTTTTCACAGCTTCCGATCGCTCACCGCTCACCCATCAGCCAGCCATCGGAGCTTCACATTGATCGCCGTCCGAAACTCAGAAACACAAGCAACAACTAGTGTCTAAAGAATCTGAAGCTGCACGTAATCGGAAGCCAAGCTGCCGTGTGTTGATTTCATCCAGCTCCTCTGACTCGGAGTCTGTGATGTACCGAACCGACGATATCAGCGAGAGCACAGCCGCCATGAGGACCGGGGCAGAAATCCTTTTCATCCATACGCAATTCACAAAGCTGACCGCTGGAATGCAAATCAAAGGATTGATTGAACTTAAACTTAATCAAAGTGAAGACAAGATTCGCATTGCCTGCAAAATCTGCCATCTGGTGTTGGGATAGCTTGACATCATCTGCTCCCGACGATCGGAGAGATCTGATATCGATGCCCTGCAAGGCCAGCATCTCCGATCCTCAGACCAACTGGCGGATGTAGAATTGAGTCTGCATGTTGTGGAGTATTGAGTATTACATACAACGTCATATGAATCTTATGTGATAGCGACTGTGTGTGTGTATGGAACGTGAGCTGAGTCTGACGTATCAATGTATTATATCGTGTGCTGGTCTATTCAGTTTATTCATTCTATTGTATAGATAATATTTATTTTTTTAGTATTTAGTATTACGCAGGAGTCATATCGTCAGTCAGTCTATGTAGATAGTAATTAGTATACCATATACTGAATATAGTCTGAACGAACTATACGACTTGACTTAAACTTGGACTTAAACGGCTACTACCATTAACCGCCAACCATCATCAACCGGATTTGAATGATAGCAACACCCACTGATTGATTAAATTACACTGCGAACTGCGAACTGTGATCAACAACTTTAAACAGATAAGTAGCTAAACTTTTCAGCAACCAGAATAATTTTCAGAATAACTAGAGTATAGTAAGTCAGTTTCAGAAAAGCCTCCCACCAAGCAGCGTGCGCGATCCACACTCCACAGCCGCGATCCCGGAAGGATTGTTGGCACAACCTAGTTCAAGGCTAATTCGAACGGCTGAAGTAAATTGAAACACTGAACCAGACTGAACCCAACATCACTCCACTTGCAGTCGGACCTCGGCAGACCCCGTCGATGACTGCATACGCGTCAAACTCTGGGATATGTCAACGAAAGCATGCTTGCTGCTTCCATCCCGACGCTGGTTCCATACTTCAATGAAACAGACGGCCTGAGGGCGAGCATGCAAACCGAAACACATCGGACGAAATACAGCACGAACAGCTGCAATCTTGCAAGCCTCTTGCTCGCGCTTCGACAGATGCTCGAACCATGGCGAGTCCAGGAGTCGCTGGGGTGGCGTCAAAGGCCACTGCACGCCATCTTAGTTAAGTTACATGACAATAGCATATCGTCTTATGAAGCATCATCAAAACTCTGTGCAGTTCGCTGCAATTCGCTCAAACCATTAAGATCCCCACACTGCTCCGCCACAGAGCTGTGCAGCTCTCTCCATTTCTCGCTGTCAGCCGATGTCGTAGCCTTCTTTTCAGCCGCCTGCAGCCGAAGCAACTCAGCCATCAGCAGCTCGTCATCGTCCCGGTGCAGAAAGCCGTCCTAGGCTAGGCTCGAAGTTCCATTCCATATCCCAAGCCCAAACACAATTGCATCGTGACTAACTTGTTGCCGTGGTAGCAGCAGCAGCAGCAGCAGGAGTAGTAGTGTAGCAGCAGCAGCAGCAGCAGCAGCAGCAGCAGTAGGAGTAAGAGAAGGAGAAGGAGTAGTAGGAGTAGGAGTAGGAGCAGCAGTGGGAGTAGGAGTAGGAGTAGGAGGAGGAGGAGGAGTAGTAGTAGTAGTAGCAGTAGCGGTAGTGGCAGCAATAGTAGCAGCAGTAGCAGCAGTAGTAGTGGTCGTCACTGCGGTAGTCGTAGTAGTCGAACTAGTCGTCGTCGTCGTCGTCGTCGTAGTAGTAGTAGTAGTAGTAGTAGTAGTAGGAGCAGCAGCAGCAGCAGCAGCAGCAGTAGCAGCAGCAGCTGTAGCAGTAGCAGTGGGAGTAGGAGTAGTAGGAGTAGGAGGAGTCGCAGTAGCAGTAGCAGCAGCAGCAGTAGAAGCAGGAGTAGTATCAGCAGTAGTAGTAGCAGTAGCAGTAGCAGTAGCAGTAGCAGTAGCAGTAGCAGTAGCAGTAGCAGTAGCAGTAGCAGTAGCAGTAGCAGTAGCAGAAGCAGAAGCAGAAGCAGTAGCAGTAGCAGTAGCAGTAGCATAACAGTAGTAATAGTAATAGGAGTAGGAGCAGCAGCAGGAGCAGCCCAGTTTCGGCGTCGGAATGTTTTCAGGATTGCTATCTAGCACTTGCGGCCAGCTGCACTTTTTGACAAGTGTGCAGGCATTGTGGTCGACCTCCAAAGCTCGCAGTCTGGGCTTATACAGCGGGGCTCTCCAAGCCTCGCATGGGTGCCCGGGACCTCCGGGCAGGCTGAACAAGACCTACCAAGAAGGCCTAAACCCCCCAAACAACTTTAAGCCGTAAACGGTTCGAAAAATATTCTGTAATAACCTACTTGTAACATGATCACGCACAAGTCCGGTGCTACTGCGGATAGGGCACCGCGGCAGCTCTCAGCTACGGACCTTGATCGTTGGGTTAGCAGGGGGCCTTCGGTGTTTTGCCTCGCGGCCACTCTGACAAGAGCTGTCAAGCAATATGCTGCACCGACATCCTAAACCCTAAGTTCACAGCATTGAGAACTAAACGGCCCTAAACTTTGCACATTGCACATCCGCAGTCAATTGTGGTATTAGTATCATGTAGGCCCAGGTCCCAGTCTCTTGAACCTTCAATGGTCGAAGGTCCGTGTCGTATTGCAATGATCCTCCGCCTTGCGCCAGCAAATGAATTCTGCTGCCAGCTGGGCGGGGTCAAGGTTTACTATCTGCTGCCCGCCAAGGGACCACAGAGCTTGCAAGAAGAGTACAGCTAGGGAGATCATCCATCCTTGAAGCATTGTGACGGTCACCGTGATTCCGAATAGCTTCTGCATGTACTCTGATGCTTCAGCTTGCCTCTGGACAGCATGAATCAAAGCGCCTGTCAAGGTGCGGTCTGTCATCTCCTTAACCATCTCGATGTCGGTCTTCGTGGGTCCACTCGGTTTCTGGCCTGCCATCTCTTTATCTTTTTCGATGCCAGTTTCAGCCGGTTCTTGAAGCTGAGTAACCTCGACGGCCAGGAGACGTCGGGCATCACGGTCCAACATGAAGTTGGCCCGAACACAGACAAGCAGGACTCGAAAGAGTAGCTTGATCAGCATAAGAGATAGAAGCAGCACAAGCCAGAGACCAGGTGCTACGGCCGGGTTGACGCCTTCTCGAAACCACACGACGATTCCTGCAAAAGCGAAGTTGACAATCTGAAGCACGATCACAGTACCCGCACACTCCATGATGGCGGAAGCATCCAGGAAGTCCAGATTTATGAAATCTCGCAACTCTGCCCAGGCCTGGATATCCGATCTGTTCCCGAGGTTAAGCGTCAGTTCTTTGCCTATGAACAGATATAGCACTTCCTGCAGGTCCAAGTTCGGGTTTTTTTTCAGACTTTCCGCGAGCTGTGTCCGTCGATCCTCGTCCTCTTTCTTGAGATTGGCGACCTGATCTGTCAGGTACTTCCTCATGTCGTCCACAGACTGCTGCGATTCGTCCCCCCTAGTTTCCACTTGTTTCGAGGTGGTGGCCAGGAAGGAGAAAAGCAGCATCCGTTGGGGTAGCTGCTTGAACCTTCTGGTAATGCCGACGGTGGCAGATGTCAGCCTGAACCAATGGTGAGCTGCCACATACGCCGTGAGCAAGCCCCCCGCCATGCCGGCATAGACATACCTTCCTATCCCCCGCCGTCTCCAGACCAGGTAGCTTGGCACTCGTTCCTGGGTTGTAGTTTTTGGTGCAATAATTGTATTTATGATTAGATACTGCTATAGAACCGTAAGGGATACTGTTAAGTTTTCCAAAAGTGCACCTAGGTTCCTCATGAGCTGCAGTCCAATCCAATTGACACTGCAGGACTATCAACGACATTCCAAGCACCAAGGTGGAAGTGAGAATGAGCGCCTTGTCTATGCTCCAAAAGTCCACCTCTCCAAAAACGTTCTTCTCAGTCTTCTCAGTCTCATCGCCGTAAACGGTCTTCTCAGTCTTGTAGTCGTGTTGCAGCATTTCTCTGACAGTGACAGGCGGCTGCATTGCTGGAAAGTATTTGCCGAACTTACCCTGCAGCTGCTTCCAGATCTTTCTGGCTTTGACAGGCAGCTTGTCTTCAGCCTTCTTCCGGTGCTGATGCACATTCTGCGCGATCTCTACGGCATTGATCAGCAAGACTCGCCAGAGGATGGTTGAACCGAAAGTGCAGGCCACCACGATGACTCCAACCTCTGCCTCACTCATGCTTCTGTTTACGGGGACTTCCAGCTACTGTAAACTGTCAAACATGAGGTTTACGACAACCCCACCTCAGCGAGGATTTTCTGCGTGACCACTTTCATGTTGCTGGCGTCGCTCGCGAACAGTCTCAAGTAGCGCTTGGTATAGGTGACGATGGTGTAGAGGCAGGAATGGAAAAGGCTTGTCCAAAGGATGCCCTCGGTCAGAACTTGCAGGTGACCCTTCAGCCCCAAGCCTCTGAGCCAAGACAACCAGCCCGCGCTGTGAAGGTCTTGCTTCGCTTCAACCCAGAAGAGCCGATGGGTCTGGTTGCGGGAGTACTCCCAAAACATGTACCCGGTGGTCAAGATGCCGAGGAACGGAGTACCACAAGACAAGGCTACCAAACAACTTCCAAAAGCCCAAAGCCATCTATCTCGAATTTGGCAAATGGAGAGTGCTGGCGACTTCGAAGCGAATGTGTCTTCTGCGGATGGAGCGGAAGTGTGCTCCTGCGCGAGACACTCAAATTTGACAAACTTTCATCATTGCACATACCTTATGTATATATATACATATACACATAGAAATATTGACATTGTTCATGATACTGTTGTTCATTATTGCCATCTAGCCCATGTGGGATCCACACGGCCAAGGGTCTAATCAGCTTGGCGGCAGTCCTTGGCGTGGTCCTTCAAGTAGTACGCACGATAAAGGATCCCGGAGAAAAAGCCAATTCCACAATAAAACAATGCCACAGGCACGAGTGCCCGGAGCAAACTGTTGATGTCCTTCTTGGTGTCTAAGAAGCTGGCGCCGAGCTTGCAGATGCATCGGGCATTCTCGTCCGAAGTGCAGATCCGAATCTTTCCATCTTCGAGAAAATCGATATGGTCAAGATTCCACTCAAGTTTAGGCTCGAGCTCCCCCTTCACAAGGCCATGCCGGTCTTTCTCTCCTTGGGGCACTTGTGCTCTAACGTCCCTACTCATACTTAAGACCGGATCCTTCGAGTTAGTAAGTTAGTAAAGTCAGTAGCACTCAGCAACAGGCTGCGAGGTATCTCTGTCCTGTCTGCGTGATCGTGATCCTGCTCATGGGCTCGTCTGATGTCTCTCCACATGGCGATGTGCGGAGATCATACTGGGATCCTGCTTTTAGTTCCATGCCTTCCACCTCCTGAAATCCGACATAGTAGCTTGCGCCGACCGGGTCGATAAGATGGCATGGCTGTCCGCACACTTCATCAACTTCATCAGTCAATGATGTCACCTGGTGGTTGCGCAGAGCCGCCACTCTGGGGAAGATGCGCAGGAGCAAAAGGGCGCCCCTCCACATGGTCGAAGTTTCGCACACAACAGATTGAAAGGATTCTGGGCCACGTTGGGCCTTCGGGTGGTCTGAGCCTGACGAGTGCACATCTCAGTTCTGAAATTGGTGGAGCTTCTGCCAATCTATGGAGCAACGTTGGGGGTGCGACACTTGAGCACTGTGCGAAAGTAAGGGGCCAGAATCGAACGATCCTGGTAGCTGCTCCAGTCATGCATTCTGTTTTGCTGCTGGCGGGCACCTTCAGAACAGAAACAGGACACCGTGCACGGCGATGCCAATAGTGGCTCTTCCCATTTAGAATAGTTAGAAATACGTAGAGCGACTCCCAAACTCAAACTCGATCTGAGAAGCACAAGCTAAAAGAGCGCCCATGTAGATGCCAGAAATGCCAGACATTTATCGGCTTCAAAGCTGCAGCTAGTCTGTACTGGCTTTGGACTTCTGCTATGCCGCCAACGCGCAGGAACGATATACATATATATATATATATGTGTGTACATATATATATATATACATATAGATATACACACATATACATATACTATTATATGTGTCTATATCTAAGTACTATTACTGCATGCATACATACATACATACATACATACAGATCATACAGATCATACATGCATACATACATACATAAATACAGACATACGTACATACATACATACATACATACATACATATACATACATACATACATACAGTAGGGCTTCTTTTGCTCCCTGCCTGCATTCGCCATGTGCGAGTCGGCACGAGCCGACATCCCTCAGAACATGCTCTCGGAGTCGGTAACACTCTATAAGTCTATTATTACATATTCTTATTCTTACTTACATTACATACTACCAACAGCTCCGTCGTCGGTGTGCCAGGTGTATTCGTTGTTGTGAAGCTTGATCCGGGCTGATTCACGGTCCGGCTTTCTGGGAACATCTTGCACCTTCATCTTGGAAGCGGGATACCTGGAAGACTCGCAGTTCACCGAGGGACGAATCATCAAGTCTCCTTCCTCCAAGGGCTTCCCAAGGTCGTATTCACAGCTCTCGAACATGCCTGTAGTAGGCTTGTAGACGGCATATTCACGGTGCGCCACTCCAGAGCACAGCTTAGCTTCAGAACAACCATAGGCGGTCGTTCGTAATCAGGAAGTCCCTGAGGAGGCGCTTCCGGCTGTTGCTTGGTGTCGCCTGTAGGATTGGTGGTTCAGGTGTCCACGTGAGATCAAGGCAGAGCTGCAGTTTGTTACCGACAACGGTGCAAGTTCGCATGATGCCGAAACTTTCTGTCCAGAGGCCGGCTTGTCAGTCCGAGTATGTCTTGAGACAGCATCGACAGCAAAAGCTCCAGTGCAGCTTCCCTCCAGAACTCTCTTCGTGGTTCCCGGTCGTCACACTCGGCAGTCAGCACAGTCTCCGCTAGTTGCCCAGGTGCCAGCTAGTCAGCAAGCCACTCCCTCGTACAACATTCTCGAGCACTCGTGCGAACAGATCACGTCAATGCTCTCGACAAAGTATCCACCAGGAAGCTTCCTCGGTTTCAGATCATGTATGAACCGACACAAAGGTGTCTCATCAATGTTGCCCTAGAAATCAAGACTCTCGGGCTGCCTGGCACAACACACGTGTGAGTACAAAGCCCTGACATGGAACCCTGAACTGCAGACGGGCTGCACTTCACAATTCTGCGTTTGCCTCCTCCGAGTCTGAGCTTGCATCATAGTCACTCCTAACGACGGCAAGAGAGTTCATGGTGATCCAACGAACTAGAGGAACGGAATGTGATTGCAACTCCGCTGGTGTGGCCTGTTTGGTGGTAAAGGCAGTAGATCAGTATATCAGTATGTCGCTTCAATGGGATGCTGAGAGCCGATCATGCTTGTCTGCCGTCAGGCGAGATAACAGTGCAAGTAAGCCGTGCACCTAAGCCTTGTTATGCAACACCTTGCTGGCCCGCTTGATAATTCCTGCTTACATATATTATTATACTCAAATAACCCCACCGTCCATTTAAATGATTACGGCCGCTGTGACTCATGACATTGCCGGAAGCAATGCACTCCAGGCACAAACCAACAAACAAGTGAAGGCCTCGCCCAAGGCAATGAGAAGAACAACTACGCGGCGCAAACCCGGACCTGCCAACATTCAAACCCCCAAGCTGTATCTTGCGTTTCGAAGCTGACCCCACTGACCCCACAACCGATGTGCTAGCCAGCTGGTGCGAAGAAACCCTAAACCCTAAACCCTGAAGCCCTTTGTCAAATCTGCAACCAATCCAAAGGCCGAGCCCTCCACGCCAAGCTGAAGCAAAAACACTTGTAGCTTTAGGGAGTTTCGGGTTTGTAGGATCATGTCTATATATATGTATATATGCACACATACTATGCCATATACTCTCTCTATATATATATATGTATATATATATATATACATATATATATATACATACATACATATTACGCAATAGTATATATACATTAGTTAAATTTATATATATATATATATATATTTCTATAAGAGTTTAGGGTTTAGGGTTTAACGGAGCCCCCGGGCTCCCGCTCAGGTCCGAGTCGGGACGGGCGCGCACGCGCGAGGCCAGGTCTTGCCAGTGCTTTTCCAAGGAGGCCGAGGTGCCTCTCGCGTTTAGGGATTAGGGTTTGGGTTTGGAGTTTACGGTTTGGGTTTGGGGCCTAGGGGTTTTAGGGCGTAGGGATTAAGGGATTTAGGGTTTATGGCTTAAGGGTTTTAGGGTTTATGGCTGAAGGGATTTAAGGTTTAGGCTTAAGGGATTTAGGGCTGAGGGCTTGGGGGTTCTAGGGTTTATGGCTTAGGGGTTTTAGGGTTTAGGGCATAAGGGGTGTAGAGTTTAGGGTTTAAGTGGGTAAACATGAACTTGCTTGGAGGGTCGAGGGACTTGGTAAGTAGTCATATTATGGAGTTATAAGTATCCTAGAAAAGGGAACCCAATAGGTGTCATGGTACTTAAAGGATCATGGGATGCGAAACTGGGGTTATAAACAAGGCGGCTATACTTCCAATTGTTATATCACCCCAAAGAAGGTAGCTGCAACCTTACTGCTGAACCCTACTTACTAAGTCTTCTGATCCTTCAAGTAGGGTTTAGGCTGCAGGGTTTAGGTGGATGGCGCATCATCCCCCGATCCTCTGAGCGTCTTCGAACAACTGAGAGTCATCGTGCTTTCCAAAAGCCGGCTAAGACAGAGCACCGTTCTGCTGACTGGGTCCCTTCTGCTGGGCTCAGTGATTTGAACTTTCTTGCTTGTCCGGTATCCTAGCAGAACAAAAGTAAGTAAAGGTTAACCTGGGGAAGTATATCCGGGCTATAATACCCACAAAAGGTTAAAGGTTACCTACTACTAAGCTGCAGCGGTTGGCGGTGAGCCAGGTGCAGTAGCAAAGGATCATCAAACGGCTGTGACTGAAGGTTTAGGGTTTAGGGTTGCTTTACTGGAGCCCGACGGTTCTAAAGGGCCATACCTCCCAAAACAATGCAAGCCCGAAAACCCTGCCATGCTGCAACTCAGACAACCTGAGAGTCTCTGATGCCTGCATAGCGCGAAGCAGAAAACAAGGGGAAGCCACGGGGAAGCCAAGTTGCGGCGCTTGTTACCGCAAATGTAGGCGTGGCAGTGGCTCCTCGGATATTCAATGCAAAGACTCAGATAGATGCGGAAATGCAGGTCGGCTGCCCCAAGCCCAACACCCAGAAAGTGCGTTCAGAATCAGTGGCATGAGACTCAAAAGGCTGTGTTGGACTTGCTAGGCGAGGCCGATCAGGTCTCTAAACGTCCTAGAACTAAACCCTGACCCGAAACCCTCACCTAACCGCAGCCTTCAACCCCTGAGCTGAAAATATCATAAGCGTAAAATAGACCTAACACCCTCGAGAATTAAAGAGCCTGTAAAACCTGAATCCCGGAGCCTGATCCGTTATGCAAAGCCAAGGCCACACCAAGACCCTGGCACCGTTGACATGAAACCGAAACCCAAACCCTGACCCGAGCTGTAAAACCTGAAGGCACCTCAACAAAAAAGTCACAGCCACCTTCTTTACCCTAGACCCTAAACCCTAA